TTCTTCTTCCGAAACCAAACAAGAGGTGCTCAATGTTGCACGAGAAAACAAAGAAAATTATCAGAAACAAAATAAAAAAGAAATAAGAAAAAATAAGAAAGAACTCCCTTCTTTCCCGCAAATAGAGAAGTTTGTTTCCAGCACGCCGTTAAAAGAGATCAATGCAGCAGAATCCTCGCAGGAAATTGAAAATATGAGCGACAACACATCAAGTAGTGTAGTGAGTAATAATGATACCAACTTTTATAAATACCATCTTATAACAATAAATAAACATAATTGTTCTTGTAGCTAGCAGGAAAAAATGTAATGGGGTCATGCAATAAGAACAAACGTACTATAGCAACAAATGTACATGATAATAAAGAAAATTTGTCTGATCAAGGTAATTCAATTATAAAAATTAATAAATACAAGTGAAAGAAAGCAGGTATTTTTATTGTTATTGTTACTTTAGTATGAAGTTTAGCACTGAAATAAGAAAATGGTCTGTTTTAGAGTTCAAAAGACGACTTTTGTCCGACGCGCGGTTTCACAATTCTAATATTAGTGAAATAAAAAAGATTCTTATTAATAATTGTTACCCGAAGAAAATTGTTGACAAATATGTCAATGTCCGACTTGGCGAATTGCGAAATCGTAACAACAATGATCCTGTCAGTAGCGAAGTGGCCCAAGATCCTCGAAGGTGCATTACTGTACCTTACATAAAGGGCCTTAGCGAGAATGTTAGCCGTACAATGCGAGACATGAACTTTAGAGTTCTTCACACCATCCCGAAGAGATTGGATTGTGTCATTAGGAAGGGTAAGGACGCGTTGCCGAGTCTCAGTCAGACTGAGTTAGTTTATAAGATTGATTATGCAAATTGTGATGGGGTATATATTGGCCAGACAAAAAGGCATTTAGAAACACGCATCAAAGAACATCGATGTGATATTAGGAAAAATGTAGATAATCATTCTGTTGTGAGCAAACATCGCCTTACACACAATCGTGATTTCAAGTGGCAACATCCGAAAATTTTATACAAAGAAAAACATTTCAAAAAAAGAGAAATATCGGAAATGTTTTTCATTAAAAAACATGATTGCACAGTCAATTTACAAAATGATACTGAGAGCCTGCCATCTATTTATAACCGGGTCATAGGTATCACTTAGTCGGCCCTGTATATTCGGTTCTGCTCGTTTTTCCATCAGAGCGCCGTTTGTTATCCGCGGATTACGTTTGACAACTTCATTTCGACTTTGACTGTTTTACTGTTCGGACGTTGTGCCTCAATATGGCTGGTGACGTTTTGATTTCACCGTTTGTTTTGGAACGCATAAGAATTGTAAGCTTTTAACTAATTTTTACAGTGTTAATTAATTTTATTGTTTTTGACCAGCGTGATATTGTAACGATTTTGTATAGTTTTTCTATTGTTAAATGTATTATTTTCTCTTTTGTTTAGTTTTGCGTTTGTCTTGACGTTGTCAGGACACCACGTCAACGATGCAATTTGTTATGCGGATCGGTGTAACTTAAATTAATAGCACTTGATAAGGACCGGAATTCGGTCGAAAAGTCGTGCAATATTGTTTTAATTGGCCAGTTGGGTCGAAAATAAAACGACTGTGGCGGCTGCAAGCGCACCGAATCTGGTGGCGCAACCGCCACAACACAAGCGCGCCCCGCGCCTGCCAGACGGCAGCCCGTCATACACACCCCGGCCGGCGAGAGTACCGGCGGCACGGCGAACGGCCGCACGCAACGAGCACGTGCAATCAGCAAGCCGTCGAAGATAATAACAAATACGCTCCGCTAGGCGGCTGCCCTTTCTCGTAAGAGAAATTCAGCGACCAGGATATAAAAGGACCGGCAAGCGCCGATACCTTCGACTATCCCTGCACAGCTATACGAGACAGTATCAGCCACGAGAAGGAAGTCTTTTTAATAACGCTGCGCAAGTACAACCGTACCAAGCCGCCAACTGCTCCGAGCCTTGAGGACCAGGCCACGCAGACGGAGGATCCGGACTTAGCCGAGCAAGGGACCTACACACCGCCCGGCACACCGCCGGCGTGGAGGAAGCCCGGAGCGTGGGGAAATCGACAGCCACTCCACCGTACCAAGACGCAACCGTGCCTGGTCTGGAGCGAACGCCTGCCAGCCTCCTAAGGAGAAACCAACCGGCCCTTTTCAGGGCCACATAACACAAACGGCCCTTCTCAGGGCCCCCAAATATCTCTAACGAACATCGCCATCTCGCACGAATTTTGGCCTACTGCCATAACGACTTAATTCAAAAGACGAATTTTATATAAACTGAATAAAATACTGTTTAACCAGGAGAGATTTGAAATTATGTTGAATGCATTTGATGAAAAGTTGCAATTTAAAGACAACGAAATCAATGATGAATGTGATGTCCAATTCCCATTACAATCATTAGAAGACTTGAATGAATTTGAACAGCAACTGCAAGAATCGCAATTTAAACAGAAAGTGGTATGTAGATATTATATATTTGCTATTAAATTGTTTTATAATGCAAGACGTTAATATTATACTTTATTTTTAAAAATACAGCTATTGAATTGCTAATTATTTCGAAAAGATAACATGTACTGCAAAAAAAGAATTTTGCAGTAAATTAAAGAACGTGTTTATTTGCAAAAATATAAAAATTGTATTTTTTTTAATTTCTAAACATATAATATAAAAATATAATGTAATAGTTTCTGAAATGTTGTATTATTCTATATTTGCTTGCAAAATATTTCATCTTAAAGTCATTACTTTTTCTGAATAACCAGAAATTTAATTTTAGGTATATTATTTTTTACTAGTGTCTTTTATTTACTTTTAAACGATTATGTATATTGTTTTTTAATCTACATGTACACTTATTCTGCATGCTAATAACTAAACGCTAATTTTATACAGTATTGCGCTTATGTGTTTATTATTTTATAATTAACCATTGGTATTATTACTTAACATTATATATGTGAATCAATCTATTTTTTAGCTGAATACTTCAAGGCTCGTGGGCGGAAGTACTATGCATATTATGACCAGTAACATCTTAAAGAAAATCATGGTTAACACTCTTGCTAAGAAATACAGTTGGGCTGGGATGAAAAGAAAATTAGTCTTTAAGGATTTGAATCTTCCAAAAATAATTATGCGTACGTTTACTTTTATTAAGTTTAATATTTTTGTAAAAAATATGCAGGACATCTCAGATCCACAAATTTCTTTTGATCTACGGAATCTTAATCTTGAACCAAGTTTAAGTATATTAGTCAAAGAATACGCAGATGAAAGGAAATATATGGAACCTAGAACGCTTTGTATATCTGGTAATATTTTTAGAAATTTGAATAATATTCTTATTTTATAGAAGCAGTTCGATCACATACGCAGTATAGCCACATTACGGATGCCGAATTTGCAGATTCCATCTCCAAATAGCTTGCGCAAGCACCTCTGAGGACTCAAAAACAATTGTAAGTATATACATGTATATTATTTGCTGTATAACTTGTTCACTTAACTGAAGCATGTTAAATATTTTCAAGAATATTATTTGTAAAAACAAGTAATTATATAGAGTTCTACAAATCTGTGAGGGATCCAACATTGCGGATCAGATTTTAAATCCATTTTTTTAAAGCAGGAGTTTTGAAATCCCTTTTATATCAAAACTCATTGTCAGACAGGAATGTATACCCAGCGACTGCATGGTTCAGTTCCGAGAGCGCGGCGATCAAAGATCAGATAGATAAACAACTTAATAAGGGGGCGATCAAAAAATGTGTTTCGTTAAAGGATCAGTTTATATCAAACATTTTTTTAGTATCGAAGCCGGATGGAACTTCGAGATTAATACTAAATCTTAAAAAATTGAACGAGTTTATTATGACAGAACATTTTAAAATAGAAGATTGGAAGGTAGCAAGAAGATTAGTTAAGAAGAACTTCTTTATGGCCACCTTAGATTTAAAAGACGCATATCTTGTACCAATAGCAAAAACCGACAGAAAATTTTTAAGGTTTACATACAAGGGAGAATTGTATGAATTCACCTGTTTACCTTTCGAGCTAAACGTGGGTCCGTATGTGTTCACAAAAATCTTAAAACCGATTGCAGCGTATTTAAGAAAACACGGTTTTCTGTCGGTTTTCTATTTAGATGACATGCTGCTCATGGGTAAATCTCACGGTAAATTTCAACATGCGCGGAAAATATTCGCGAAACTAAAAAGCTCATACAGGAGCTTTATCATTAATGACGATAAGAGTCTTACCGTGCCCACTCAGCGTTGTAAATTTTTAGGTCTTATTTTTGACTCGCAAAAGATGTCGATAGAGTTACCGGAAGACAAAGTGCAACGAACCATAGCATTTTTAAATAAATGTAGTAAAATGTCGAGCTGCACGATGAAGGAATTTGCAGCGTTCGTGGACAACACTAGTTTCGCGTTGTCCTGCTTTACGGGATGATCCATGTACGTCGCTTTGAAACGGAACGCACACGAGCGTTGGAAGAAAATAATAATTTCGATGCAATTATGATTTTTTCGAGCGTTTTAAACGAGGATTTTACATGGTGAAAATTGCACATTCGTACCGCTAGCGCGCCGATGAACGAACCCGTGTACAATCTCAAAATTTTTTCTGATGCATCACGTACGGGTTGGGACATGTTTTGTGAAGGTCATGGTCACTGGAATTCGAATGATTTATACTTGCACATTAATTCATTAAAATTGATGGCAGCATTCTTTGGGCTAAAATGCTTCGCGAATGACAAACAAGGCAGTAATATTTTATTCCGGATAGACAGTACGACAGCGATCGCATACATTAACCGTATGAGAGACAGCCACTTCGAAAGCCTTATTAGCTTTCTTGCCAGAGAGATATGGCTGTGGTGTGAACAGAGAGACATTTGGATCTCAGCGTCATATATTCGTTCTTGTGACAATGTTGAAGCAGATAACGAATCGCGAAAGTTACAATCGGAAACGGAATTCGAGCTTTCAGACAACGCATTCCAAAATATCGTCAAAGTTTTTAACCGACCGGAGATCGATTTATTTGCTTCTAGGGCGAACGCAAAATGCGATCACTGTATTTCTTGGAAAAAAGACCCCGATGCGATAGACATCAATGCTGTCACATTAAGATGAAAAAAGTTGTTTTTTTACGCGTTCCCTTCCTTCTCGGTTATTTTGAGAGTGTTGCAAAAAATCGAACGCGAGGGTTCGAGTGACATAGTGGTAGTTCCGTACTGGGAAGCCCAGTCATGGTTTCCACTTCTTTTATCATTAATTGATGCTGAACCCATCATTTTTTGACCAAATATTAATTTGATTCGTTCCTCTAGCGGAGAGACGCCTGTTATGGCACCAGCTTACGCTGATTGCTGCGAAGTTGTCCGGGAAGCCTTCATCCGGAAAGCAGTTCCATTGGGATCAGTGGATATAGTAATCGCATCCCTATCGGAGTCGTCGTGTCGGCAATATGATTGTGGACTAAGAAAATGGTGGAATTTTTGCAACGATAACGGAATCGACCTTTTTTCCGGAACACCGGCGGACGTATTAACGTTTCTTACTACTGAGTTTAAGAAAAAAGCATCCTACAGTTCATTAAACGGCTACAGGTCGGCGGTAGCGTTAATTTTGGGACCTGAATTAAGGCAAAACCATTTAGTCCAGCGATTCTTTCGAGGAGTGTCTAAACTGAGACCAGCAAATCCCAGATATAATTTAACCTGGGATCCCAAAGTAGTTTTAAGTTATTTGTCAAGAGTATATTCAAATGAAGATATAAGTTTAAAACGGCTTTCTCAAAAGCTGGTAGCTTTGTTAGCCCTAGCTACAGTACATCGCATACAGACCTTGTGCCTGATAGATATTAGGAATATTCGTCAAATGAACGGAAATCATTTAGAAATAAAAATTCTTGATAAGATTAAAACGTCCTGCCCAAATAGAAAACAGCCAGTGCTGAGACTACCGTTTTTCGTCCATTTGCGTGGATACAGCTTTGCAATCGTACCTGAGTAGAACTCAAGATTTGCGTGGGTCTATTGTACAGTTTTTTTATATCGTTTAGAAAACCATATAAGGCGGTGTCCACGCAGACACTCAGTCGATGGCTCAAGACAGTTTTGTCCCAGAGCGGCATAAATGTTGAAAAGTTTACGGCTTACAGCACGCAACACGCGGCAACTTTAGCCGCAAAGCGTCATGGCGTTAGTGTGGACGTAATAAGAAGAACGGCGGGTTGGACAAAGGACTCTGAAACCTTTGCGCGTTTTTACGAACGGGAGTTAGTTTCGGAAGACGCCTAATTTGCCGAAGCAGTCTTCAATATGTATAGACAAGCTTAGGCCATATATAAAAAAACCGATTTTTGTTTTTCTTTTTATGACACATCGAACGTAACTAACTTTAAACAACTACATCTGTGATCTCGAGGAAGAAACGCGAAATACAATGAATGATTAAACGAACTTACCTAAGTAAAGTTCAATCATGATTGTATAAGCGCCTCTTCCGAAGAGATCAGTCCCTCTTTCCCGTTTATCTTTATAGAGATACCCAAAAATCAGTTACGGTTCGGCTTTGAAGAATGAAGATGGTTGCGCGGAGGCGCGCAAGTCGGAGAGTCTAGGGAGATTTTTCTGTTTTGGCTTTAAAGCTTTGTAGTGACACTGGGAAAGCGGGAGGTACTACATTTGTGATCTCTTTGGAAAAGGTCGATTCCGAGTCTCGACATCGAACTCGTGAAACTCATGTTCGACCGTATTAGACACCGTGCAGTCGTAAGCGGTGAGATCCCGACGACGGGCAGAGGCGCCGTACGGCAAACCGGGCTCGTGCGACGACCGGCCCGCGAGGACTGGCCGCCTAGTAAGTGTGTCACATTGTTTTGAGCCTTTCGACTCACGATACTTCTAGAGATATCATTACCACCTTTGACTAGAGAGAATACGGCCTTAGAGGCGTTCAGGAATAATCCCACGGATGGTAGCTTCGCACCACCGGCCGCTCAACCGAGTGCGTGAACCAAATGTCCGAACCTGCGGTTCCTCTCGTACTGAGCAGGATTACTATCGCAATGACTGGTCATCAAATCAAAATTTTTTGCTTACATAGCTACAAACTAAAGAAAAAGAGTCTAAAAAAATCGGTTACACTATGAAAAGTATTTTTTGTAGTTCTCAGATATGTGATTTTTTGGGGATTTTTAATTCTATTTTAAATGACGGAAAAAAATCACTGGCGCAATATAAAAAAAACAATGAAATCGAGGGTTTTTGAGATCCGAGTCTCGGACTTTGACGGCGCGTGCAAGCTAAACGACTGACTTGACGATAAATGTTGTTCAGATCATTATTGTAGATAATTTTACGCTCTACAAAAAAGGTATGTATAATTAGTTACCCTATCTTG